TTCCTTAAACTATGACCATCAAAGTCACAAGGGTTTATCAAGGGCAATGTGTGTATTCCACCATACAGCTTATTTGTTGGGACAAATGACCTATTTTATTGATTCTCTTTCAGAAGCCATTTGGTTCTGTTACAGATGAGTGGGGAAGAAAACTATTCTTTTGACTGACCACTTTATTTGCAGTCTGATAAAGGAGGACTATTGTGTTTTATCCATTACCACTGTCTTCTAAAAGCCTCTACTTTTACTCTTGCCAAGTTCTTTAGTTTAGTTGTAGCCAGGGACAGGTGAAACTGTAAATAAACCATCCTGCACAGATGTCTCTGGAACATCATTGTGAGTTTGACTGATTGTAGCATTAAGAAATCATAATTCACTGCATTACATGGACATGCAATTTCACTGTGCATCATTGCCAAAGAGGCAGAGTTTTTGCTTGTATGATTGCATCTCCAAAATGTAGCAGACCTGTTCCAAATTAGATATAAGCTCCTTAATATATATAGTGACTACTTATGACATTACAGCCCACTCCAACTGGCTGAGATATTTTCAAAATATTTTAGACATCAAATTATTATGATTTAGACATTCCCAATCTTTACTGCAATCAAACAGAAAATCTGTTCTAGAATGCTGTCAATGGCTTATCTACTGAAAAGTTGAGGCATTTTGGGCTATCACTTTGATAGATATCGATGTCCTTGTGGCAGAAAAATCTGAGACTTTAAATATTTGCAGTTGCAAATGCTTAAATTAATTATTAGAGACCTGAAAGCAGGGAATGTCATGCTTTGCTTTTTCTAGTTTAATAGAAGAGTGAAGAGAGAATGTTTAGAGAAGATTCATTGTGGCAGCTATATCTACTACTTCCTCGAACATCTTCTTTAAGTGCCCATGTAGGCTTAGGCCTTTGTGAGTTTGAAACTGCACTGATGAAGGTGATCTGTGACTTCTTATTAAAGATAAATCAAAAGTAGATGTCAGAGATAAATTTTTAGTACTTGTCCATTGTCTCTTTTGTTGGCTTAACGACCTACTTTGGCTTCCTCAGTTTAGAGGACTGAAACAATTTATTCCACCTGAGAAATGCCCAGAAAATGGTAGTAAAAGTCTCTGTAGATCCTTTGGTTTAGTCACCCTACTGGATGTGTATTAGAAAGTTCATGAGCTAAAAATGAGGGTCAGGATGTAGATGAAACCTGTATCTACATATCCATCTCTATCATCCCCAGAAGGGAAGCTGAGTGAATTCACAGGCTGAAAACAAAGGATGAACTTGGGATTGTCAAATCTTCTCCTCCTCTTGAAAAAGCACCAGAGAAACAATCCAGCCCTAATGGCTTGTGGATAGTGGAGATTGCTGAGAAAAACTAGGCTCTCTTGTGGAGTGAGGTGGACTATTTGCATTAAGAAATGGAAACAACTGAGGTTCATCATATGAAAATACAGAATTAATAGATAATACGAATTAATAGATTCAAGTATAGCATAATAACCAACAGGTTATGATTCAATAGCCTATGTTGTAGAAGAAAAAATATGAAATAATATTTCAGTATCATGAATAATACATTGCTACTACTTTCTTGAATTGTAATATGAATGGTTTGCTCTGTTGTTGAGTTTAACAGCAAGTCTGTAGTTAAAGTGGTGCAAATAAAGGCCATCTTCAGCCTTGTTGATACTTCAGCAAAGCACAGAATTTGGGCATATGCATCCAGGCAAGAAGAGGGTGCTGAGCACAGGGAAACCTTGGGAGCTTAAATGTGACAAAGTTTTGCACAGGGGAGTAGTGTGATGAACCAAACACCTCCTTGCCAGAAGCACACTGGTTCTGGCAGAGTGTGTGGATTTGGCCTTCTATCCATGTGCTGCTGAGAGATGGGAAAGAGGCCAAAGCAATATAAGAGCAACAAAAAGAGGTAACCAGAGGTTGGTCACAGTCCTCTGTGCTGCTGCTAGCAGCCTGTGTGGCAGTGCCAGAACAGAGAAGGTGAGCAAGGGAAACACTCAGGAGGCTTTTTATGTTTAGACAGATAAATACATTTTTTTTCCATTGAATTCTGGATTTGAGGGAATAGCCTCCCATGAAAACACAAAACCCGACTTGCTTTCAGGGTTACATGTCTATGCAAAACTTTATACCTAACATCTGTGAGGATGAAGACTTTCTTGTTCCCCTGCTTCGCCCCTGCCTCACTGTGAATACTCTGGAGCAACATTAGAAGACCTCACCATCTGCTCTCTGACAATAGTCTTCTCTCTTTCTCTTTAAAAATACAGAAATTCCAACCACTTGGTGATTATTTGGATTTGCTGTGGGACTTGGGAGTTTGAACCAGATCTTTTTGGACAAAAAAAAAAAGATGATTTAACCTCCCATTTGAGTGAATACATGGGAAGAAATAGTAAAACCAGAGTGACTAGCAAGGGAAGGGATTTGGAGCAAAGTTTCAAAGGTTGGATAGAGCTATAAAAAATTGTCTGGGCTTGTGTGCCTGCACAGGACAGCAGAAATTGTTAATGATAGAAAGCCTTACTTACCTTTCACAGGAACAAGCACGATTTGTTTATTTATTTAATAAACTGAGTCAAGAGTATGTCACCAATGAATAAATAACTTTAAACATTCTCATGTTTGAACTAGAAGACAGCTGGCACAAAGAAACAATTACACAGCCATTGGGATTTCACTGACAAAAGATTTCCATAAGTAATTATGCTCGGTGAGTGTGAGAGGAAAGGCAGATTGCCCTTTAAAGGGGAGAACTCTGTGATATTTTCCTCATGCCCTTTTGCTGTAAAGCTAATAGCAGACATAAACTGAAGTGACCCTGTCCATAACTGGCAATAACAGGTATCTTCTTATTCCAGGTCTTCCAATCCTTCCAAATGCAAATACTTCCAGCCCTCTTGGTGGTCAGGCTGAACAGGTAGAATTTACAGGGTCAGGCTCTAAGGTTGGCAGATACATAGAATTCCTTTCTATGCTTAATGCCACCTGGGTATGCAGATTGGGCTACTCCCTTTCCTTTTCTGCTTGATCCCCCCTTTTTCTACCTTATATTTCAGATTATTGAATTTAAAATGACTTATTTTGTCTGACAGATTGAGCTCAGCATCCACGTAAGTAAAAGATGAGTCAGGTCTCTTTCTCATGCTGATGTTGAGTCCAGAAATATCTTTGAAAGTAATAGTTTTACTGGCAGCATAGCACAGTTCTGATAAATAAGAGACAGAATTCAGGTGCAAATCATGTTATGGTTGACTTTTACATGTAATAGAATAATAGAATCATTTAGGTTGTAAAAGACCTTTAAGATGATTGAGTCCAACCATAAACCTAACAGAATATACACATAGAAAATGTAATGTGTAAAAATCTCTGGTGCTATGTGCATGGTTACAAAGATGTGGTAATTAAAGGATCACTTACGTGTCTGGCACAGCATTCCCACCCATCCTCCGGAGCACTCACAGATGTTTGGACCTATACATTCTCCACCATTCAGACATTTCTGCAGGCAAACAGCTGAACAGGTTGACATGAGACAAGTGAGAAGATGTAAATGATGTATCTGGATGTTCAAGATCTGTCTGAAAGGTGACCTGCTAGGCTTTGTTCCATATGGCTAACTTCCAAAGAAGTGAATGTGTTCTGTTCATCAGATAATCACTATTCAGGATTCTTTGATATTTTGTTCTTAAGAAAGGGATATTAGATGACTGTCTACTGTAAAATTCACTATTTCTAATGCTCAGCTCACCATCAGCTAAGAATAATCTCCATATGATATATTCATGTGTGTTATATGCCTGTTATGTGTTCCATGTGAAAACCAAATATTTTCGTAGCATAGTTTGATAGACTTATTACATACGTGTGTTATGTGCCTGTTATGTGTTCCATGTCAAAACCAAATATTTTCATAGCATAGTTTGATAGACTTATTACATACATTATTTGTTCAGAGATCCTGTAAGAGTGAGTGCATGACTTGGTGTGTATGTGTAAGACACTTCCTGCCTTCAGTATTTCTGAGTAAATTATAAATATTATAAATTCAAACCACTGGTTCTGAAATCATGTTTACTATCAGGACCCAGAGGGTAAAAAGCCAATATTTTAATCTGGTTTACATACAGGATGTCATCTTGATTATAAATTTATTCAGTTTATCTGTCAACTTCATGGTAATGAATAGCTACATAAGAAAAAATATTCCTTGAAAATATTTTAGGGTGAGGGGCTTTTTTTTTAATTACATTTTTATGTAACTGTAGTCAGATCTGGTAAGAGTTACAGAGTAGGAACACGTCATTCCCCAAATTATGCACCAATGACCTTGGGAGTACATCAGTTTGGGAGGCTTTATAGCAGGCTTTAAATAGTTCTGTATGTTGAAATATATGACATTTCTCTGCAAAATACAACAAAATATGTGAAGCTGTTAAAACATAAAATCAATGCTTTGGGTTTAATACTATAAAAATGAATTTCCATAACAAGATGTATAACAGACAGCTGCATGAAGCAGAACCAGGCTTCCCCTACACAGCTTTTTCTCCTTTACAGGCAGCAAATGTTTATAGCATTTTGTATTACCTGGACTTAAAACTGTTTTTCTTCAAACTGCTGAAGCAGCAAAACAGATTCTGTTCACTATATTGTTTTTTAGTATTAAAAGAAGATTACAATTGATGTTGACTGGCCTAAGTAATAATAATAATAATCTGTTTGGTGGGTAATAGAGGTGCTTACGTTTGTTACAGTGCTTTCCCCTCCAACCAGATGGGCAATCACAGACATTTGGGTGGGCACATTTCCCTCCATTCATGCACGTGGGATCACAGACACCTGCAGGTACATATCAAAGGAAGAACATGGTAGCTGAGAAAAGAGGGAAGACTTTAGCACAAACTTACTTCCTAGCAGAAAGTTCATTTGCTTGTAATTAAAAACCAGAAAGTAATTTGGATTTGAGAATCTTAAACACCAATACTTGATAGCTCCCATAAATCCATCTGGAAAATGCTGTGCATTGTATGGAAGTTCTTTTGGAGAACCTCCAGTAAGAGGTGCCCCATCAGAAAAAGAAGTGAGGCATTGATTACAAAGATTCTCAGAAAAGCAAGTGGACAGGCCAAATGTTTACTAGAGCTTTCACTTTCTCATTGGAAAACATGTTCATTTGGGTAAGAAAAGACTCAAAGAGAATAGATTGGTTTCACACAAGTTTGGCAGTGCTTTTTTTCATTCAACCAAGCGTAGAGCTTAAACAGATCTATTCCTCCATTGCCTTATTGTATCATTATTTGTTAAAGTACTTACCTTTTTACTTCCTTCATACAAATAAGATCCAAAAGCTAAGCTGTTCTTTCCACCACAGGAAAACAGATGATTTTTTTTTATTTCATTGGAAATCTAATAGCTGATTGCTGTGTCTCAGATTAAACTGCATTTATCAATATTGTTTTACAGCATCCAGCATTAAAATCTCACAGTTCTCTTAAGTCAAACATCTGCCATCCAACCTGGATTGATATAGGTAGATGCTGTAGGCAGATACCTAAAGTCCTTTCCTGTTTCTCCTTGACTGTTAGAGTAAGTGCAGGAAGGACCTACTAGAGACTGTGTAGTTTAGAAAAATGGCAGTGCTGGTATGATGGGAGTGGGAATGAATTGCACTTTGCAAATGGAAGTGGAAGAAGGAGTTTGATAACTGGGTGGAAGACAAAAAGTCATATTACACAGCAAGTGGCTGCACTGGGCTAGGAGAGCCAAGGCAGGAGGAGCTGGCAGTGAAGGTGTGAGAACACATTTGTGTCAAATGGTCCTGCCATGCTTAAAACTTTATAGGCACATTGGGATTTGCCAGTCAGTTGTCCCCAGCAGTGGCAATCAGTCAGTCCTCCCTGCTTGAAGAGATGGGTGAGTTTTGAACACCCAGCTCTTCTTCAGCAGGGAGCAGGCACCAAGGGCCTGGCAGCTAAAACACAGCATTCCAGTGCCTTCATTAGCCTTGAGGTTGTGATGCCTTTTAGCACATCAGCAGTAAGAACAGAACTTGAATACTAATGTTGCAGCAATTCTGCTTTTCAAGTCATCACTACGTACAGGACCCTAAACGACCACAATTCCCCCTCAGACTTTACTGTAGAAGGTGGAATCCTAAAAACAGGCTCAAAATAGGAATGATTACTAAAAAAATAGCATGCAAAAAATACAGCAATCATTATTTGATGGCAGAATAACCTTCTGTTCCTCTCTTAGGGATGATCAGGCATTTTTAGGTAGGTAGATTTAGGTTCCCTAATTATTCCTCTGATGTACTGAATGAAATATTGCTTTTGTAGCACTTTGTGTCCTGGCCTATCCCTTCAGTCCAGATGCTGCTGCACTGGCAGCTTTTAGTGCTATGTTGCTGCTCTTTCTTGGCTGCTACATTTGCATTTCATTCTGTGCCAAGCCTCCTGGATCCCTCAGCATAGTGACCTGCCCTCAGGCAGGTCAGACTTGCCCAGGCTTATAGGGCCTGCTTGGATCCCAGCCCTTAAACTGTCACCCTCTATTTCCTTCTCCCTCCTCATCTCCTGATCCATGCTGTAATCTTGGCCTCTGCTTACTAAGGCTAACAGGGATCTACGTTTCTTGCTGAGCTATCAAAAAATGCTGCAGTCACTAGTTAAAACCTAGCTGAGTTCAAAGTGTCAGGGCATCTACAACTCTGAAATCATTTAATCTCTTATTTTCCCTCTTACTTTTTCTCTCCCTTTTGATCTCACATTTCCAATAAAAGACTTCTGACCTACAATCTTGTGTGGTATTTGACTTCGTGTTTCATTATAAAACAGCTCAGACATTCTAAATTTAGAAAGAAAAGATGACCCCAAACCATAAACTTTGGTTCCAGGTTTCATGTGACCTTATGCTTTGTGATATTCACTGACTATAGTGTCCTCAATGCTAACCTGCTGTCCCAAAATCAGCTGAAAATCCATAGATTTGGTTTTGAAATCATATGAAACTTGGACAATGGCTTCTCCCCACCTCCTAAAAACTAAAGTCAAGAAAAAATAGCTAGATGGACAGTAGCACTTGTAAAAATGGATATTTCTCCTTTTGTTTTTTTCTTTTGTCACTTACATTTTCTGTATATCCTTAACCTTATACAAACAATTTCTTTTCTGGTTGTTTTGCACTGATAGCAGAAATGTTAAATTGTACAATAACAGACTCCTCAGCTGCAGGTAGTCAAATTAGTATGCTTTTCATTAACCTTTAGTTTTCAGTTTGTGTATAACTTGTTCCAGCTCAATTTGCACTGGAATTCAGCAAAACTTTAAGGTGTGGTCCAGTCTTGATCTGAATAAGATACCATCGGTTTAAACCAACTTCTGACTTCGGATCAATTTCTCTCTTTGTTCAGCTGCCTCACAAATGTCCAAGTAGCTATGAGAATATAGCATGAACTACCTTTATTGGTTATGGCATCTCTGACTTCAGTGATAATCCAAAGGAGTTCAATTCAAAGTGAACTAAGGGTTCAAGTAAGTACCAAACCTGTTCTGAACCAGAGGAGCACTTCTGCTTGCCTGCCCTCCAGGGCAGACACTTTCTCCTCTTGCCAGGGAATTCACGAGCACCTTTACCTAAATGAATGCAGTGTTATATCTCCCCTTTTCCTGCTTGACATCTCCACCTTGTTCTCCCTTCCTTTAACTTTCTTAAATACAATTTCATCTCAATACCCATCCGGAAGGCTTCAACATTTGTTAATGATAACTAGTTCGGATCCTTTCTAGTCCCACTCCTTGGCCTCTGTGGAGGAGTTCTAATTTCAAAATAGCAAACAAAAATGTTCCAGCCTCTCACAGGAAAACTAAATAAATTATCAGACACTAGGAGAGCAAATCAAATTATTGTAATTCTCCCAGGCACAGGCATGACTTTGGAAAGACTCGTATTTCTTTTTATGCCCTTCCCTTAAAATATTCCTGGCATCTTGACCCAAAGACAAAAGTGGTTTAATTCCACCTTCCTTGAGGACTAGACCTAATGACATGAATATAACACACTCATGCATTCCTTTTGTTATGGTTTGCTGGGTATATCACTGGGGATATGGAGTCCTGTACTACCCACACATCCTGGGTGCAAACCCGCTGGCAGTCAGCAGGTATCACTAAAGCTTTAATCCCATTCCCCTTACTGTCACCATCAACATTTCCACCCAGAATTTCATATGCAATAGAGTTACTCAATTCTCTAAGGCACCACGATTCTCTAAGGCCACCCTTTAAAACCAGAAATTGCTTCCATGATCTTATGTTTTCCAAAACTTCCTTTAAAACTAGAAATTACTTCCATGATCTTATGTTTTCCAAAACTGGTGAGTTAGATAAGGTAAGGCTATGCTGAAGGTGATAATGCAGGTTAAAGCAAAAGCATAGTTGTGTTGTATTTCAGGTGAGGGGTGATTTTGATAAGGTAACAAGCAGCTGCAGGTGTTAAGATAAAACATAGGTGTTGCACAGAACATCAGACAAAACGTGCACAGTTCTTCCATGCGCTGAAAGGCATTCACAAGTTGCTGAGTGTTCTGTTTTATGCAGCAGCTATTTCTCTTTGATGGCTTTAATGCATTTTGACCTTACAATCACTTAAAATTTCCTGCGACTTTCATAGCCTATCCCCTCTAGGCTGACTTGACCCAGTGAAGTGCTTCTTGCAACTCTTTTTATCAACCTTCATGAAGCTCTATAGTTCAACTCCTCAACCCTAGCATCTTTAAGGTAGGCAGACCTACTGCTTTGTCAGCCAAAGGAAAGAATTTGCCTGCAAAATAAATATTTCCAGAGATTATTGAAACCAACCAGCACCTGAAATGTTGTGCATAAAGTGAAGTTTGTCTTCCTGGTGTAAGTAGCACCAGTGATGGACATCCACAATTTCAGTGTTTTCAGTTGCCGTTGGATTTACAGTAATATCCCCTTAAAATATACACAGCATTAAGCAAAACATCCCTGTTATGCAAAGCCAAAAAGACTGGGGATAAATCTAGAACTGGACATGTTTTGGTGTACTGCACATACTAGAAATGACTCTAACAAACAGTCACACTATTAGGCAGAAGTATCTGTTGACTAATTTTCAGTGATTAGAAGAAGCCAAACATTTCCTTCAGATTCTCACTCCTTCTGTGGATTATCAGACAAAAACTTTTCAAGTTGAACCTAAGCCACCTTTTGATGCAAGTACACCAATAATAAGAGAATGATATGTAGTGAAAAGCTTTTAATTTTGTTGAAATTAGACAGTCTTCATCACCACCCTCATAAAGTCAAAACAGAGGGAATATTAAACCAGGCTACGAAAATCTTGACACAGAGGGATCCTCTGCAATGTTTCAGGAATACACCTTGTAGCAGCTGAACATCCATGTCGTTTCCTGACCATGAGACTGCAGACTATTTCGAAAATCTTGGCACGGAGGGATCCTCTGCAACGTTTCAGGAATACACCTTGCAGCAGCTGAACATCCATGTCCTTTCCTGACCATGAGACTGCAGACTATTTCTTTCTGGATCAAAAATTACCTGTCATCATGTATCCTCAGCCATGCCGCTGATGAGGAGACAGTGCATCATGCTGCAGTGCTGATTAGAAGATGGAGTTTTCAAGACATCTTTTCTTTCTTTTTTTTTTAATATGCCCTGTGAAAGTTGAGAAAATTGACCTGCTTCTGCCTTTTCTTTCTTTTTTTTTAATATGCCCAGTGAAAGTTGAGAAAATTGACCTGCTTCTGGATGCATCCTGCCTTTGGATGGAAGAGAGAAAATAGCCTCAAGCAGTAA